GCGCCATTCAAACTCCAGGAATGAAACAGTATTTTACGTCAATATGATAGAGGTGGTTTTCTTGCTCCGGCGTTTAGCTAACTTTTACTCTTTCATCAGTCAGCTTAAGCTTTATCGCTGTATCGGGGAATTGCGCTGGGAGAAGGATGGATTGCAAAAGATGGAAGTACAGGCTCAACTCAAGGTAAAAGGTTAGAGCCAGCAGCCCGAACGCGCGTGAAAAAGGAAAAACTCAAATCAGAATGACGCAAATCTTACATACATAAGTTTGAACGTAAGCATGACAAGAAGGGGATGATCCAGGTTATAACACGGAGAAACACTCGAGTCTGGCACTCAGCACCACATTACAAATAACGAGGGCTAGGTCGAAATTGACCCTGCAAATTGAAGATGCGACTAGAATCTTGAGAATCCAGCAGTACATGATCGTGTCCCAAAGGTATGAGGCCTTAGACGTAATAAGTTGCTGACAGGATAGTTAGCAAACAGTATTTACAAAATTAGTCTGTAAGTATCGACCGATTTGTAATTGTTTAGGCTTCATCAAGTTGTCCACCTCTGAAGCTAAGCATTCACAAGTGAATTATAATGTTCTGGTATCTGACTGAGATGTTCATTTACCAAATGATCAGCGTATATCCCTAGAATGAATGAAGACCCTACATGACCGAACAGAAACCAGTTCGCTGCTCTCCCCAAAAATGTTCGACGCCATGAGACATCTGAACTATTCGAGCACAAGTGAAACATGAAAACGTTCGGCACCCAGTTTTTAGATGTCATCAACTCTATGTATCCGGTCTCATGCGCCTTAAATAACAAAAGATTTCTTTCACATCATTTCTGCAGAAAACATCATCACTATAGAAAGACTACAGCATCTGAGCCCTGGTATGCAAGCCACAGTCTGTTACAGAGTAAATTGGTTTCTCTGTGTATCAATCGTACGAAACCTATGGCTTTAGCGATCATGCATAATAAGGATGGATGCATGGATGGTCTGATTTGAGGGATTGCCTTTGCCTTAAATGTTTGACCTTCCGTATACGATGATAGAGCATGCAAAATTTCTTTGCACGTACTAGTTTGTACCCGGTACTTAGCATACAGCAACTGAGTGGAATTGTGGAATCTCATGCTAGTACGAAGGGTTAACTTTTGACGAGAAGTCCTGATTGAAGGATGTCGACACGGTGACTCTCCAGATCCAGTGTCGATCATGGAAGTCATCCCCTCCTGGTCATATCGCGTTCACTTCTTCACTTTTGTGATCCTAGGCCCTGCTCAAGCTGTCTATCTTGACGGGGCTCCCCACTTCAATGTGATTCTATGATTCGTGCGTCATGTACTGGACACAATTATTTGGCAACTCCCGGCGATTGCCTTTAGATTACCTCTTGTAACTCTGCCTTTGCTTTTTACCCCTTCACAATTCCTACCACTTCATTTTCATTGACCTTCGTTCACTTAAGATAGTCAATGGTTGGAGAGCTTCTGGGTTTGGTAGAAACAAAACAAGGCTCTTTAAAGTAAATGCTGCGATTTTGCCTCCTGATCCTTCGAAAAGGGCCAAGCGAGAGCTACTTTATCCACTCAGAAATTCAGATTTTTCTTACTCCCAGGTTACCGCTAAACTCTCAAGCGCCAAAAACTTCTTTAATTTTGTTCTCAGAGTTAGGTACCAGATGTTGTTTGGCGTGCGCTCCTTCTAGCAGAAGAGGGGTGTAGCAAAGCGTTAGCTCTACTTCAATTGTATGGAAACCTGTGTCTACTTATTTCAGTATATAAAAAAAAAACTGGATTAATTATTACCAAGAAGCTAAGTGTGCGATATTTGACAATTCACAAGTGAGGATGTGGATCCCAGCATCATGTTTCCTGAAGTTCATCTACGTCTTCTTATCACTTGTCTTCTTATAACTTGTACTCCTTGGAGCAAATGTAAATGCATAAAAGTAAATGCAGTACTTTATTATCCTTCAACTTCTCAGAACAAACATATCGTATGTAAATTGCGTTATCAATAAATGGGGATCAAACTTTATTCATATGCACAAGAAGTTCAGACAAGAATTGAAGAGGTTTGTACTGCTCAACATCATGTTCATTTACCGTTTGTTCCCGAGTTGTTTCACTCAAAACTTGGGGATTCATAAATTTTGAACTGCGAATTTATGTTCTGGTATATTGTATTCGCTAAGCTATCTGCTTATATGAGGAATAATGTACGAAAACGACAGGCTCTACCTCTCCACTTTTTTTCCGCTCTTTCCTAACATATATTGGTAAAGTAATTGGGAATCAGTCTTTTCATACTGTATCTTACTTTTCCAGACAAGTTGACGAAATTAGTAAACGACTTGTTCCTTCTCTGTTGTGGTCTGACCTTCATTGCTTTTGCTTATCGTATTCTACAGGCAGAGGAGTTGCAAGTGGGAACGAAGGTGATGCTCTCGCTGTATGCATTGGGAATGTTCATGGGAAGTATCAAATCATTGGTCCGAATTTGCAAGCGGATCTTCTATGGGATGCTCACCCATTCCGTTGTATCAAATTCGATCTTGAGCGCATCTAATCTATTTATGTGAAAAGGTCATCTAACCTTAAATAGCTTGGTATCAAAGGTGACAATAATTTGATGTCATCATAAATATCCACCCAGACAAAACTATTAGAGGAGGGACTGATGTAGAGTCAAGTCCAGTGGGATTTGGGTTCATTGTTTGGGTGCATCATGTATACGGATGGTTAACAATAGTAATTCATTTTTTAAGGCAGTCGCAAACAATCATTGTTCCAAGTACAAACTTGGGTACTATACCTTACAAGGATTTGCATTTCTATACAGATGCATGCATCTCGATGTCTCAGATAATCCCTGATAATCAACAGTGTCATGGTTGACAGCTTACAACTATGTTGGTACGAACTGCATAGAAAATACGGAGTCAAACATAGAAATGATAACTAAATTTCGAAGAATAGGTTTTATTATTTAACTGGATTAATAGAGATCGCGATTTACTGGAGACGCACATTGCATTTTGTTGTTTCAGGTTTCGTTGAAGTGCATAAAAGACTTGATTTGAAGTTGAAATTTAAATTTGAGATTCTTAGTACCTTGAAATTTGACTCTGATTGTAATGTGAAGTGAGTGCATTTTGGAACTTGCTATACAATAATGAAATGATAATGAACTGTCTCAGATGATACATTTTATTTTGTTTGCAAAGTTTATAATTTTATTTGATATTATTATAAAAATAGCATAAAGGAGAAAAACACTTCGATGAATTATTATATACGTTTTCCACATTTCTTGAATCATTCAATTAAAAAATACCAATGTTTTTGGATTTATTTTAAGAAAGTAAGCAATATAGCAAAAACATGGAAAAACTGATCAAGTAAGACAGGCCAAACCCCCAAGAGTTTCACAATTGGGAATATGTCATACTGCACGTAAAATTTCCCTAAGAACAGCACCTAAGTTTGAATCTGTTGAGGGAGGCCTGTTTGTCTACTAACGAAAATGCCCGTTGTCTCCACCTAAGTACCAGAGGTGAATCATCTGCCACCTCTCGTTTAACTAAGTGTTCAAGCAGCCTAATAATACTCAACAAGAGCAGGTGGCCACCCAATGCATCGTTGCTAGCTCCGAACTGATCCTTATCCTGAACATTACCTGTGGGCAGTGCCACTTTTGTCATCGCAAAAGCCACAGCGGTTCACCAACTCTACTGGGAATGATTCAGAAGAAAATGGTGGAGTTCCATGGTTTTATCGTCCGTGAGAATATCTCATGAAAGTTTCTCAAGATTCAAGAGTGGCTTGAACAAAAAGACCCGAGCCAGCACAAAAGAGAATAGACCAAGAGATAAATAGAGTGCACCAAAGCACTATACAAAAACGAAAGCATGCATTTTCCCACACCTCGTATCAAGAAAATGGTGAAGTATATTGCAGCGTCGGAAAATAAGAGCCAAACAAGGCAATGTCCGAGCAATGCTTAAAATACTGGTTATGCAAATGGGTAGTCATCGACCGATCCTGTAGTTGCCAACTTTGTAGTGGCCAAGGGGGCCAGTGTTCAGCAGGTATCATTCACTAAGCTTGTTGTCATTACTTTAAGTTACTGATTAGTAAAGTCCATCGAATCAGATCGAACCCTAGTAAGATTTACATTAGGATATAATTGAAGAATGAGACCAAAGTTGGGACAGCAGTGAGTGAGTGAGAAGAGTGATCCACTGAGTTGGAGTATCTTTGGTTTTTGTTTTTTAACATCATTCTTGCAACAATTCTGAACTCTATGAGATGGGCATGTAATGTAGGGAGAGCCTTGAGAGGCTAGATTCTCTTGAGGGTGGAATTCACACCTCGGACCCTTGAAATGACTAGCAAATACTCCCATAAGTTTGAGAAGCTGTTACTCGTGGAATCTCGTGGTTATTTAAAGACACGAGTAGACCAGAATTCTCCTGTCAATCTGTACCATAGACGTTGCAAGTAGGTGTAAAATCGTGTTGTGGGCTGCTCCATGAACCCACGGTAAAAGAAGATTCTCCCGTAGTCCGCATAATAGATAGATGTCGTGTGAGTAGATGTCCAAAAATTAAGTTGCGGACTGATGTCTGAACAGTGGGCTTCTCTCCTCCATCCACATATCGACACAAGTGGACCTCTGTGGGTGGCATCTGTATTCTGCCATCCGAGCAACGACCTCAATAGGGAGCGAGAATTGTATCAGACAATGATAGTTAAAGACAGAGACAGCAGAGGGGGTGGTAAACACATCTGATCAAAGCTGGACCTCGGGTGTACCGGAGGTGTGCATGCACCCAGCCTCGATCCACCAACCGCTCGAAGGAGCAGGATGTGAGCGTGTGTAATAGGTGACCGAGGTATGCGTTTGATGGCGTCGTGCCCTGTAACCTTCATCGGAACCATTCCCCTACAGTGGCTTCGAAGAATTTAGTTTTGTATGCCCCAATCGGTTGCAGGAAATGCGCATAAATGTGCGAGAAATGAGTGTGCATCTCGGTACACAGAGCTTATCGGATTCTCGGGTAAGGTTTCAGACCATCGTGACCAATAATTCGAACGGAGAGCAGAGCAACCGCCGGGGTGACAAGGGCGCCATTGCGGGAGACGGATGGCGAAGGGGACTAACTCTGCAGTACGTCTGCTAACTCTTACTAAACCCACATGCTGGAGATCTTCTTGTCGGGCATCAAACTCGGGACTCTGATCGGCCAGCTCTGTGGGTCGAGAGCAGAATAAAGAAATGATAAATGCACGCAAACTCTGGCGTCAGCCAAATCATGCATGGTTACAGGTGTCTGATCTGGCTCAACGTCGCGCTGCTTCTTGTACTACGTCGGCCTGGCTGCTGTCAGACGAGGCTGCAATATTTTAAGACTTTCTGCTGCACATGCTCCAAGCTCGCTTGATATTTCGCGACTCATTGTAGGGGGGTGGTGGTCATCATATTGGCAATATCCCAGTAGATTCCTCACGCTGTACCGTTTGGTGATTTGTTACCTAGTTACGATGCCCATGTGCCACACCTCAGCTGCCAGTACGATGCTCGGTTTGCTGGATTAGCGTCGGATGCAGGTGAAGCATTCACAGATTCAGAGTTTAGGGCTTGCAAAGCGAGCTTAGTTGTTCCGGGATTCGCCCGACGCTGTCTCTAGGGCCTCTGGGCTTTGTGCAATTAGCACGACCCGATGCCCGTGGATTTTGTTGCGTTGTTATTATTTTTATTTTCGGGAAGCTCGCGATGATCCTCCTCAGGAGCCCTCAAAAGGGAGGAGGAGGAAGAGGGAGGGAGGCAGGGAAGGGTAGGAAGAAGAGTGCGTTGCAAGGATTAGCTCGAAAACTTCAAGAGTTTGTACAACCAGCCTTTACTTCGGAGTCCGAGGCGCATCTTTCTCGTCTGACTCGCAGCCAAAAGAAAAAAGCTGAAAACTCCAGCCACAATCACACTCTGCTACCAACTGAAATTGGGCTGCTTGATCGCAGCCTGACGCGCGGGAGCCAGCTCGCTCTCAATTCGAGGCATTCGAGCCATTGTATAAGGCCTACAAGTACGAACGCTTTAAGTTTTAAATAGTTGTTGGTTAAGTGTCGGCAACGTCGGATTCCATTTGTGAACGAAACCAGTGTCAGACTGATTTAGAATCCTGCTAGCTCGCCTCTTCCCGTTTCGCTCGCTCGAGCTTATAAAATGCTTTCTGATATGACTTTTCTAGTCGCTGAGCTCCCTCGGCCTCGGTGCGACCATTTAGTGCAATTATATTGGTGAGTTAGATTTCCTCCTCCTCGTCGTCGTCTGTTCTTGTTGGAGAGCTTCAGAACACCCACCACTGGTGCAATCTACGTCCCTCACTCCTCGCTACAGAGCTCTCTCATGTCTTGCGCATTCCACGTTCTGTTCAGGTCGATCAGGAATGCAAAGTGATTGACATTTCACTCCACTCTGCATGTTCGGCGTGCATCTCAGCTCGCCATTCAGTCCAGCTGATTCCTTTCTCTTTCTATGTCTACTTGGTGTCGTGGTAATCCAGTCTCAGGAACGCGAATTTTCTTCGGCCGCCGCTATGACCTGCCGTAAACGCTGCGTTACCCTTTTGGGAAGCAATAATTACTGTCCGTGGAGGCCAGGGCTTCCCTTCCTTTATGGCAGGCGGAACTCTCGTCATTCATATATATATATAATATAAATATATAGATATGCTTATACTTCACAGGAGAGGAAGAGAGGCGAGCATTTTCGAAGGCTGTCGACAATGTGGCATGGACTACGCCTTCACACTTTTCTCCTTCCAGATGTGGATGTGTAATGTCGTTCACAGAGCGAACCATACAGTGGAGGAGTTTATGGTCCAGAGAGCTCTCGCTGGAGAATTGTGAATGAAGTCAGCACGGTAAGCGCGAAGAGGTCCAGGGTGTGATGTGATCTGAACTCTTCGACAGAGTGACGGGAGAAGAAGAGATCAGGATGACAATGCATTGCGCAGATCCAGTGCTTACATTCCCTCTTGAAGATTGCGAATCGTGCACTATTTTTTTCTTCTGGTGTCATGCTCTTAGGCAGCTCGAGGAGTTACCCAGATGAGTCTCATCGTGGTCCGTCAAAGTCGCATGTGGTATAAAAGAAATCGAACCGAGGTGCGAGTATTGTGGCGGCCTTTGACGATCTGTTCTCAATCTTCATTGGTCAGCTCCAGCAAATGCATGCATCAGCAGCTCTGTGTTACCTCGACTGCATGGATCTGCAGCTTAATATTCTTTGAAATTGTAATTTGCACGACAAAGTAAATACGTTTTATAGGATTCTGTGATTGAAACTAACCAAATGCGAATTGGTATCGATGCGCAGACGCCGGGGGCAGAGCTCTGTGAAACAATTCGCTGGGGCATGTATCGGGAATGAATTGATTGTAGGTATCGACTAAGCGACCCACTCGTTTGATCAAGGAGATTTTATTCCGTTTCCAAAAATTTGAAAGTACCTACGAATCTTGTCCATTATGAATCGTGCTCTTGGACGAAATTCGTAGGTGTTTACAAATTCTTGACATATGGAGTCCAGGAGAAGAGAGACGTCACCGAAAGATTTCAGTAAGGCAAAAGAGCTCCAAAATAATTCTACAAATCCTTCAACCAGGCTAGCAGCTAAAATGATGTGAACTTACCGCATGCTTATAAGCTTGAAGCGGTCGAATGGTATTGAAACTAAACCGACCTTCTGAATCATGCTTGCAATTTTTTATTTTCTTACTGTGCTGGACCCGAATTCTCGAGCAATTGTCCACGTAGCAAACCATAATCCGTACCTATGGATTGAATGTGTGCAACTGGCAGCGACTTACCTGGTCTACGTGAGTAACATTAACTAGGCAGATGAGTATTTCTGCGGAACTGGAGAGGGTTTAAGCAGCAGAGTGAAGAGATCACCTTGGACAGAAATCGGTAAAGCTTATTTCGTCTACGATAGACCATCCGACATATGTCGCCGCGAAGAGAGGTATGTGGAGCCGCAGTAGCTTTCGAAAGATTCAAGTTCTGGAAACAAACCTTGGTGTTTCAGTCGATGACAGTATTTGCAGTGGGGTGAACAGTAGGAGTTATGTAGGTACTCTTGAGATCCGTCTGTCGACAACTTTGAGCTGCAACTTTTAGTCCGTGTAGTCCATGAATCATGTATAATTTGATCTCTTCGTCGACTTGCACTCGTCGTCTCGACACTTGCACATGTGACACTGTCAAGAAGAAGTTTTGGACAGTATGCAGTATCGTTTGTGGATAATTATACTGGTTAACCAGTATAATGTTCTTCAATGTTAGGATATACAATGCTGTGGGTACTCAGTGGCATTGAGTAATATGTCCAGAGGTGACCATGATAGGTCACCTGGTTGGTCTGGTTAGTTATCCCTCGCTTAAACTGAATTATCACTCACTCTCACAAGAGACATCTTTGATTGGTACATACCGTGCAAAGATGGGCGATATGCTCTTTGTGTCAGAGGTAATAGTGCGGTGTACGGGGAGAAATAGTGTTAGAAATGTAAAAATTAGATTAGGACGAGAGATAATTAGTTTGAAGTGAGAAATAATGATATATATAGCAGAAATTAGCATTTATAAGAGAACGCAATACATTTGAATTTGTGGTAAGATGCACATAATGTGAACCGTTGGGGGCATATTAAATAGGAAAGTTCCTCTTGACATGGAAATTACCGGAGAGCTTTTATGATGTTATTATTCAATCTTCAATGCCATTCATTATCTTTCACTAGAAATGACAAGAAGCGGCATGGCTATTATAAGACATTGTGCATTACAAAATTTAGCGACCGATATAAAAACTATCCACGGACTTGTACAGTAGGTTTCGACATTGACTTGTATATGTATTCCGTGTAGTACGTCTCTAGGCGAAAGAATTTGACTTACAAAATCAAGCACCCGACTCATTTTTTTTGGCTGGAGGTGACAAATTCAGGTGTACGTCGATGGATGGTTTGCATGGGTTTAGGTTAAAGGCATGCCATTCCAAGTCCGTAGAGCATCGTATGTTATAACTAGTTTTTGACGGTTTGATTCTTGCGAGGGATCTTCAGAAGCTAAAGCCGAGAAGACTGTTTAGAGTTGCTGGTTTTATAATATTGAGCCCGTTCCGGATTTTTTCTGTAATGGGCATCAAACTTGATCTATACGTTCAAATTTAAGAACTAAACACATTATACTTCAAATCTATCTTCGATGTGTTTAGACCAAGTGAATAAAGGAGGCAGCATATAATAGAGCCCAATGTCCAAGCGGATCTTCGACATTGTAGCCGAATATCTTCAATAATTTTGAGGAGACTATGGTCTAATAGATTACAAGGGATTAGATGATGGTGAGATTTTGTCATGATATGGATTTTTTCATGATAGGTTAGGCTTGTGACTCAAAAGTTAGTAATATTGTAAAAGTATAACTATGTAGCCTAACTTCTCTGTTATACAAATTACTGATTATAAAATACTCTATAGATATGGAATTCAATCTTGTTGAAATATACAACAATTCTACGAGCCGTTTTAGTCACAGTTGATCATGATCTACTTTTTTGAACAAACTACTCGTAATATCAAACTTACTAAACATGTAATATCTTGAACATACATCCCCAAATGCTTGCATTTTGTAACACGTAAAGCCAGAACCAAGTGCAATCATAAACTAGGTAAAAGAAAAAAGTCAATCCAATGTAAATTACACATGTATATTACAATGCTCACTAAGAGGGTTCAGTGACATTAAAGTCTCATCCTATACTAGACTGGTGTTGTTAGCATCCATTCCAAAGGATTGAATGATTTTACAAGTGTAATTTTTGATTTTAACATACCAGAATATGATTCAAATGAATATCCTTTGCAATTTCTAGGTTGTAGAATGCTCTAGTGTAGGAATTGAAGCTTCTATGGAGTACATTGACTCCTCTTTGGTTCTACAATCATGGCATTTTGATAAGCACTAGTTTTTATTTGTTGGTGTTTTATATGTATATATACAATTCATGTCATGATAACTTTGATAACGTAAACATGCTAAAAAACCTAGACTTCTATATATTTTATATTTTATTTTTCAAATATAAAAGATATATTAAAAAAAATTCAACATAAATCTACCAATTACGTTTTTCAAATTCACAATGACAAGGATTGATAATAAAAATAATCCAAAAAATGAGTCAGTTGTCTTATTCAATTTACTAAAATTCTTAATTTGTGACTAGTAAAATTTTTACTTTTTATTTTTTTACTAACAATCATGGTTTAGTTTTTGTACTCAAATCTATTGAAATTATTCGGTATATAATCTTGGAAAAAACTTAAATTTTTTTATCAAAATATTATGATTTGTGTTCCAAAGAAATTTTCTTGGCTTTTCCATGGAGCAATAATTTTATGAATACAAGTAATCATGATCAAACTTTTTAGTGTTAACCAGAAATTTTTTGAATTCTCAACAATATTCTTTCTTGAGTCGAATCTTACAATATGTAATCTTTTACAACTCTATTTTAAGTTATTGAAATTAGAATTCAGCCAAAGTATAATTAATTGTAGTCTTGTATTTAAAAACATTTCATTTTTTCCCATTTCTTTTCATATACAAAATTTGCATAGAAGTATAAAGTAAACTTACAATTTTTGAAGCAATTAATATATGAATTGATTAGTCTTATCACTTATAATTGAACAAATTTTTTCTGTAGTTCAATTATAAAAAAATTGATATTTTAATAAAATTATTGTTGATTTGATCTGTTGCAATATTTAATTTATTTCCTATTATAACCTATTCATCAAATAGAAATAATTTTTTTTACATATTAAAATATGTAAAAAAAATGTTATGACTATGTTCTGGATTTTTGCCTAATTTTTTTTGCAAAAAAATTTATCTCTAAATGCAAATACATATCAAATAATAGAGTCTTTTTCTCTGAACTTTATTCATAATCAATATCAAAATAATTCCCAAAAATTATTTTTGACATTTTTTAGCACATAATACAAATAAAACATTAAAAACTTATTTTTATGTCATTAAAAAATAAAATTCATTTTTTTAGCAATAATTTTGGTTTCAAGATAAATTTAAACATTTTTGCATAGCTAGAGCAAACTCTACTACACATCATCAGATATATGAGATTTTTATTACAGATTAGAAGAAATATTAAGTTAATTTAATCTTTTCTATTTTTTAAAATAAATTGAACATTGAACTTTTCAGAGTTTAGAATGTGATACCATTGAAATCTTTACTGCTTAAAGTCTGTTATCTTGAATCTATAATAATATTGAATTTTCAGTATTATCTTTTGTCAGATAATAATAAGTTTATACTCTTCAAATTGTTAGAAACATCTATCATTTATAATATTTGCAACTTGATATCATATTTTAATTTCAAATGCAAAGTTCATATGTCTTGTGTGTATCAATATTTGATTGTTGTTTGTATTATACACAAGTAGTATTCATAAAATACTTAAAAAATTATTTTAGATTTATTTTCATTGTGTTTTAATTCATAAGCAATTTCTTGATAAAAGATGATTAAAGCATCTTTCATCATCATTCATTACAATGAAGTACCTTAAAATGTCAAAAAAATATAGAGAAAAAAATTAGACTAGTTCATAATTATATATGTATGGGGCATTTGTCAATAAATTTAAATAAATTATTCATTACAGATGAAGTGTTCATAAAATGAATCAAAAACCTCTATATTAAATATTATTTCAGAAATTTGATTTATATATTTTTAATGAAACATCATACATCTAATGAAGTATATTATGAAACAATCTAAAGTTGCAATTTACTTTGGAGAAGTTTGCTTGATGGGAACCCATCGGATCGCTCACTACTTGAGGGGAACAAATATGTTCAATTTTACCCGATGGAACCCTTCTGTGGACCGTTCAGTACACCGTCACCGATGTTCTACTGCGAGTTCTTGTAATTGATTTCAATCCGGGTTAGGAAAAGCACTGCGGCTCATTATTGAAAAGTGACTTCTCCCCACAGGCACTTCACTGACCAAAATACGCAACTTAGGTCAAGAGTTTTAGAAAAAAAAAGTAAGGAGTACATTATAACTGTAAAACCATTTTGGGACGTGAAAAATTGGGCCCTTGCACGACGAAGATTGGGAACCAGGGGAAATCTGACTAATCTGGAAGAATTATTTTGTTTCATTGAAGTGGAAACAAAGCAGTTACAAGAACATAACTGAAGGTGAACCGTCGAAGCAGTCGTATCGGGTAAAATGATCATATTGGATCCTATCAAGCAATCAGCGTTCCGATAAGGTCACATCAAACAATTTCTCTATGCTTTGAGATAATTTGTAAAGAAACTTAAATATTTCCACAATGCAATCAATATTTATTTTCATGTATAGTTTAAAAAAAATAAATGTATAGATCTTAGTCTTTTTGTTACACGAGCATTCTTGATAATTGTATTTGATTATTCATAAAATTTAATCATAAATATTATAATTATTTCTAAAGAATCATTATTTATGATCTCTATAGTATAAAATAAAATTTTTAATAAACAATGATGGGCCAACATATTCTATAATTCATAACTTCGAATTTAGTTCAACTTTCTTATCTAACATATACAATAGTTCACTATTCTAGAGCTAAAAATTTCATTAATATCTTCATATAATTTTCATGGTGTAAGATATACAGATTAATGTAAGTTAGCCATAAAACTTGTCTCCTCACTTTCAAGTTTTGAGAAATATAACCATATTACATTTGAAGAACTTATGTAACCTACTCTCCTCTCTATGATAATCTACATGAGAAGTGCTTGGTCACAATCTTACTCACCGATGGCATATTGACTCTCGTATCTCCGATTTCCATTTCGGACACAGAGAGCTTAAGGACCTCATTTCATGATTTGCTGATTGTAGTTAAGTACATCGCGTTGCAAGTTCTTATTGAGATGATGCTTATTTTTATCGGAAGTTCAGCATTGTCCTTGGTCCTGAATAAACACATGTCCCCCTCCCTCGAAAAACGTTATGTCAAGCCATAGAAACACACATAGCAATCGCAGAACATAGTACTTCTCATATTAATTATCGGTATGTTCAGCCTCCTGGTAAGAATAAAATGTACAACCCCAGACTGAGCCGGAGAATCCCATCCTGAAGGAACAGAAGTGGAAGAAGTTACTCTCCTGAGTACGCATAGGAAACCCAACAAACTGTCAAAGAACCCATGACTGCATCAGGAACATCAGGACATGAGACATGTGCAGCATGATTTTTGCACCTGCAAGTGAAAGAGCTCGGTGCAAAAAGAAGGTGCATGAAGAATTTAGCGCCCAGAGCTTCCAGACGGACTGCCATCGTCATAGTCTTCGAAAAGAGTCTTCGGAAGTTTCGCGAGGGTAAACCCAGCAAACTTTACTGCACGGTAACGAACCAGGGTGAGCAGGAGGGTCTCGGTACATAGAGATCGCGAGATCCCTTCGGACCACCGTCACCTGATGAAGTCTGCCTCATCGTCTACTCTGACGATAAGACAAGGTCTTCAATGACATTCAGCTCTCCAGAATTGTTGGACGATGATGTGCTCCGATGATCTACATCGCCGGGTACAAGATTTTCTCTTAAGCTGGTTCCGGAGGCCGGTGGATACGACATGAACAGAGGCCTCATCATGTCGTGGTCCTCGTGATCGATCTTGTGACAGTGCCAAAGGTATCCAGGGAAGGCTGTCGGATCGAAAGGATAGGAACCACCCTTGCGAGGAATAACTGGAAACACAATCCTTACCACATGGTAACTCTGCACATTTATGGTGTCCTTCCATCCCCTTTCCGCAGGCCTCGGAGGCTGAGGATAGTCTGTAAAGCAACTATCTGGATGTTTGTATGGACGGTCAAAGGTGCAATTGCCGACCAAAGCTCGAGGTAAGTCGAAGGTCTGAAAATGAACTACGAGGAAATTGACGAGGTGAATGTGGATGACATGATTACTGAATCGAACAAAGTGAATCAGATCCCAGACCTCACTGCTGAAGAGCTCAGTATATTCTGACGCTGGATCAGTCCAGTGTTCCTGGTTTAGTGTCGGGGTAGTACCAGGAATCGGACTGACTTCCAATGTCATTTTTCTGTGTATCCTGGCATTGTTGACCAAGGAAGAGATGTCCGGAGCTGTGCCCATTGAAGTGGGAATGTAAACATTCTCCTGAGGGGCCAACCCCTCGACATTGCTGACGACGTTGAATTTCATGATATAATAAGCGGAGGGTACGTTTTCCGCCGGAAGGAGCTCGCGATATGAATTGTTCAGGTAGATGGTAGTCCCAACAGGCACTGACCTGAAATCCACGAGGACATCCACTCGAAAGGCGTTGGGGAGGAGGATCTGGTCCAGGACCATGGGATTCCACAGGTAGCCACCATCCGTGCCTATCTGCACGAACTTCACTCTGCTATCACTGAGGAAGAGGGCAAATGTTCGAGCATTTGCCGCATTAATAATCCGAAATCGGTAGATCCCTCGCACGACGTTCATGTAAGGCCACGCTTTGTTGTTGACCAGAATCACATCGCCCATGTAAGCCGGGCACCAGTTTGGCACGCCGCTCACTGCGGCGTCGTAAGTAATGTCCGGGAAGTTGATGGAGCCATTCCAAAAGAACTGCTTGTCCTGGATCACGAGAGGCACTTCGTACCCTCCCGAAGGCAGAAAATCAGGCTCCTGCGCATTTCGTATAAAATACAGACCGAAAAGCCCCGCCACTATGTTGAGGCGAGTGACACCCACGGTGTGATCATGGTACCAGAGCAGAGTTTCAGGCTGCTGGTTCCGATAGATGTGGTCTCTGGTGATGAATGTCGGCCCTGTGTCACCGGCAGCAGTGAACCAGGACTCTGGGTGTCCATCATACTTGCTCTCCGTCTCGCCCCCGTGCAGATGGACAGTCATCGGGACGCCCCCTCTCGGTGGTTCAGCTCGGTGAATGGTCGGGTCGACCATGAACAAATGATGTGCGTCTGTGATATGGTTTTCAAAGGTTATGTACGTGGCCACATCCCTCTTCGCCTCGAGAGTTGGTCCTGGAGCTGTTGCCGTGGCTTGACTGGTCCCGAAGCCATAGAAGGTTGTGTTCGGGAGTTCAGGATGCACACTCTGTGGGTGAACAAAGCGCAACACGGTCAGAACTAATCACCATCGCATTGCGAGTCTGTATGTCACACTCCAGACATTCTGGACCTCCACAAAATCACAGAGTCCATGGTTCGGGCAAAGCATGTTTGCAAACAGCTTGCCGAAACCGTGAAGTGATCCAGAGAGCACAGAGTGAGAGGGTCACATGAACCCGGAATCGAAATCACAAGACCAGGCCTGGCAACTGCGCTATCTGTCCGGACACATTGGAGCTAAGAAACATGGACTTCGTCCGGCAACATGGGGAAGTGCTCTCTCCCTGTACTTAAATCAGAACTGAGATCAATGGATTGGAACTGTAAGGTACATGGATACATGGAAATCAGAGACCTAAAATGCTACACGCACCTGAGAAATCTTATACGCGCCCAGAGTTAATGGAACACCCGTGGAAACATCAATCGATGGTATTCTGGGTAGTTCTACTATGAAGGGTGTCAAGACTGGCGTGGGAACCATGGTTAAGCATTCAGAGTGAGCAGCTGGAGATTCAGGCTCCCCTGCAACAGAAACTGCGGCAATGTGCAGCAACGCGATCAGAATCGAAAATTGCGGAGTCGATGAAAGCCGCAGCGTACGAGATGGAGCACTCCGCATGCTCGTCCATCTCAAATTTCTCTCCATTGTGATCCTTTCGCATGGAGGTCGCTCACGACGCGCTTGTGCACCTGCTGCGGGAGTTACTGCCCACGGTTCGTATGCACCGTGGACATAATCTACGTAAGAACAGAGAAATCCTCGCCTCTTTCAAGCTCACAATTTGAAGGTTGTTTTGAGAAAGCTTAAAATATGGGAACTTTTTTTAATGTAGCACGTTTCTCTTGTTCACCTTCTCAATTTTACTCAGGTTTGCAGTTGTGCCTTGATGTTGTCGTACGTCGTCACTCTATTTCTTCGTTTGACTGTAAGAATCAGGTAAGTGTAACATTTTATTTATTACTAATTAATAATTTATTACTATTATTATTTAAATTATGCGTGTAAATTTTTTTAATTGGAAAAAAAATTGCATGGGAAGACCCCATCAAGTCATACAAAGATGACATGAAACCCAATCATTACCATGGTACTATATTATAGTCAAAGTGTCTATTAACAACGATGCACTCCACGTAGCAATGTCAACGAAACTTATTTTGAATTATTCAGGAAAATGATTGCTGCAAACGATGAACTTTAAAGCTCAACATTCATGAAAGAACATGATACTACATATAAACTTATGCATTGCAGCTACTGAAATTTGTTGGTCTGATATCTTTGTAGGATTAAAGATAGCCCTATTCCACTTCAAATGCATGAACGTCAATAAATATATTATTATAGTTTTGCATCAATGTCCATAATTTTTCCTGTTTATTAATTAACAAAACACCTTCTACCGAATACAACTTTATTCAGATTTCACAATTTTCTTTCTATTTATTTAGATACATCTACATATAACCAGATTAACTTCTTCTCTTAGTGTTGCAAGTATTTTGATAAACAGCACAACTCTTTGAATTCAATATACGGGAAGAGTATATTAAAATTGAAAACTCAAATTGCTTAATTTGATAGTTTTTATAATGATACGAGCAATTTGAACGGGAACCTCTTCCATCTAATCTCAATCTTTCATATATTTAGTTACTTTAGAATGATAATAGTTTAACTGTCAAAAAGTAAGCTCGTAGGTTTGTTCTAAACGTGTATTTTCTAATCAGAAAAAATCTTTCCTATGTAAAATTTATGCTTGAAAGTATTATTAAGTACATCTTGGTAGACCCTGAATATTTTTTTGCTATAATTACTATCCGAATCTTGATTGAGAATGAAGATTCGATCCCAAAAAAGTTTGAAATTTTTTCAGTGAAAGATTGTGTGGTTCTTGAACGGTACGGAACTTTTAAAGCAACGAGGAAAACTCTCACTCTTGATCAACTTAAGAAATTCAACTTGTTCTATCATCCTTTATTTTTGTGTGAATGAAAGAATCATGGGTAGGGACTTGACAGTCTAAGACGGAAATCGGCGCTGGAGCATGAAAAAGCAATTCAAGGAGGAAATAAATCCAACAGCGTGGATTTTTGTGCATCAACACCGACTTTTTGTGCTCTAACACCGATTCAGAAGAAATCATCAGATTCTGATATTATTGTATGGGATTGGGGCTTCCACGTAGGAGAAATAAACTATGTCACTGAAACCAGATGGACCCGACCCTGTATTGCTAGTATTATTTAAGCAAAGTTAGTGATTTGTTAGTTGGACTCTCGACGTTCGAGGCCTGGACGTGAAGGAATGATCACCGTAGGATGCCTCAAATTGCACTGTGCTGCAGAGGGTATCGAATGTAGGAGGTAAGAATATGTCGGCAGACAATCGTACTTCACTAGAAGGCGAGAAGACATCTCCCGCCTCGCTCAATGAGCAACAGACACAGTCAGAAAACGACCTTTTCAGACGCGGCTGCCACCGAAAAGATATTCGGGAGTGTGCCCGAGTTCGAAAAAGCGACCCACATTGTTGTACAGTTTGAGCTTGCCAGAATCTGCTTTTACCGACTTCTCTTGGTTCACTAACGAGCGCACAATTCAGCGAGACTATTTCATCTTGAATGCAGAGGACTGAAATCAGCTCTAGAATTGAAGACGACTGGAATAAGTTCAGTACCATGATTCATTATCTTCTTTGTTAAATATATCAAGGACTTTCATAAAAGAGTATGGGAATTCATTGTAACTTTGTATAAGGCACTTTCGATTCGAGGTGGAGAGCAGTGGTACACTCTGTTTATTGATACTATATGCTTATATATAAAATATGAAATATGAAATGATATGAAATTCTATAGAATTCATACCTCGGTACAGTGTCGGATTGAGAGCTCTAGCCAACCTCGCTCGACGCCTCCTGTTGCTTTTATCGTAGAACTTACGTCACGATCGTTGGTTAATCAGCCAGTAACGACACTGTCGTTACTGGCTGATTACTGGCTGATAAAGCTGGGTGACTCCAGGATTGGGAATCTTGTAACCAATCATTTGGTTACAATAAATCGATCGACCTCTCCTTTGACCTCCTGTCTTCATCCAAAACTCCATAGACTTAAATTGAGATAAATCTCAAAGACGGTTGTTAGTATTAACCACTTTTATAACTGGGATTAGCCTCAACTGTTGAATAACCGGAAGAATCTGAAATCAAATTGAGATCTTTCCTAACGAGTCTATACACGAAAAAAAAGAGTAAGCTCCTATTTATACCTTCATGCTAATTATCCCTCACCTGCATGAATCTGAAATCAAATTGAGATCTTTCCTAACGAGTCTATACACGAAAACCAAAAAAAGTAACCTGCTAGTTATACCTTCATGCTAATCATCCCTCACCTGCATGGCAAGTTGGGTGCTGCCCGGAACCAGCTCAGTTTAGCGGTCCCCCTAAATCTGGCGTGGCTGCCTGAGAACCGGTGGCGAACGCAGTTGAAGGTGCTCCGGCAGCGAAGGAGTGAGAGAGAGAACCTTGGAGGCCGAGGCCACGAGAGAGGGACGAGAGGCGAGGCTAGGCTCGACTGGCTCGCTGCATGCCTGCCCGCGGGAGCGTGCTTCTTGGCTGCTGTGGAGTGCTCGGTCGCTCGCCATGTTTGAGGGAACGAAAGAGGAGAAAGGAGGGGACACAAAGTGAGTGATAATTAGACTAATTTGAGGATAACTAGGCGCTCCCAAAAATATTCATCAACGTAAAAAAGCATGATTTGCTTCAAATCGGAATTGCTATGATCTGAAACAAATTTAAACTAACCCTAGTATACAATCTCCAACCTGCTAGACTTAACCAACATAGGCAATGAAGGAAGTCTTGCTAAATATGGTACATTTAGAATAGATGAGTCATGAGATAACCTGTGTCTCAAGATGAAAGAGGCCTCTAGATTCATCGCATTTATGTCAAAGCGAACGTTTTTACATATGGAGGTTATGAGACTGTAGACATGGATTGCCTGCTAAACCCATAAACGCTCATTGACGGCCAGCCCATTCTACCCCTGGTCATACATGGCAATCACCCCAACACAGATTTTTGTACGCACATGATTCTCTTGCAGAGTATGACCTTTGCTGGAAATGTTCTGCTACGTGTAAGAATCATCAATACATGTCTGGCTTGGTCAACCTGCTCGACACTCTCCTCCTACTTTGGATGGAAATAGCACCAGGTCTCTATGGGCCATGTGAATGTTGGGCAAAAGAATAATCTCGAAGGATTGAGCTAGGTGAAGCTTGAGAGGTATCTAATTGAAGACAGATCTCTTCTTGTACTTCGTGACGAAGGTCTCTTTGCTGTAACAGGTATATATTTTTCATAATGCGGCTCAGTAATATGAACACATGTTTCACGTGATGTGAGACAGTAAATAAATTTATGTAATAAGTTAATAATCAATAAATTAACCCCTGGTGAATTGACTCAAGTTGACTCAAGATCAAGAAATTTAATGTATACCCAAGATGTTATGTTTAGCACGATGGCTTTCACTTTGTAGTCTTTCTTAGAATCACTGTTTCTGGATTTAGGGCCCTGAAGCGAAAGTGGGAACACAAAGTTGGTTCAGTTGGATACCCTAATGAAAAAGTTGTTCAAGTGAAAGCCTTTTTGCTGAGCTGCTATAGTAAAGTTTTGACGAAACACCTCCCTTTAGAATATACCAAATTTGAAATAAGTAAAACTTAACAATATCTTGATTTACTAAAAATTGAATGTTAATTTTACATGTTTATGAATTTAGACTAATGGAGGTATCATATCTGGAAAATCTTCTTTCATAAAAGATCATATTCAAACGAGTGGAATTATCAAAACTTTATAATTTCATGGATGTGAATATCACGAATCTTTACAGAGCCAGTTATGGATTATCCAAATATGATTAAGTCTTGCTATGAAGTAAAACCAAAAAAGAAGTGAAATATAATATACCATACTGCAAAGATAACAATAATGGTAATAGACTATCACAAGAGGATTCTCAATCATTAAAATTTACTCTAAATAAAAGTTTTATAAAATTGAATCTCACAAGGAAGTTCACAAACAATGATGTTAATGTATAAGTATATAAAATTAACAGTAAGTGGCAAATTTACGTATTGAATTAAGATTTCAAAAGCAGTATTTAGTGGTTAAAAAAAGATGCCATATTTATTCAATGTTTAAAATCCAGTGATAAAAATATTTGATAATGCATACAATTTTTAGTTTTTTTTTCAATAATGTTTCATCTCTTACGCAAACATTCTGCATAGTTATATAGTTTCTTGTCTATGAATATTTAAACAGAGTACCGACATCAAGTCCTTCCTTTTATGCAATCTTAATTCGTAGCTATACTTTTTTCTTGTCACCAAAAAAATTCTTTATTATTCATGTTTAAGGTTCCAAGTCTTAATATTTTTCAAGATGAGATTAGTATTTTCCAAAATTTACAAAAATTTTAATTCAAAGTTTTATAAAAATACTACAATATTACATTTTGATCTTACAAATATTGATGTTCAAAATGATTATTATACATCATTGATACTAGAGTTTGTGCATGAAGTAAATGAACATATGAAAACTTTATACATGTAATCCTCATTAGCTGATATTTTGATATGAGTCTCATTGGAGTTCTTCTATTTAAAGTCATTTTTTATGTCAAAATATACATCATTTGGTTTTAATACGATTGCAAACCTTTAAATATGATTAGAATACATTTTTTGGATGCAAACTGAAAAGCACAACATAATTAGTGTGAACTTCAACAATTGAAATGTATTTAAGAACAAGTTGCTCCAATTTTGCAATAATTTTTTGAGTTATGAATTCAACAGTAAATTTGAAAAATGTAATAAAATTTAAAAACCATATTGAATGCTAAAATAATTTTCAATAAATTTGAACATAAATAACTACTACAAAATTGTATATTATGTAAATTTCAACTTCGCCACCCAACACATGTACACGAATGATTCATGAAAAAACAAATAAATGAGTATTAATGCCATTTGAAAATAAGAAAATCCAAAAAGAAAGTGATAAAAATTGAAAAACCTAGATACATTGAAACAAAATCAATCATTTTAATAATCAAATCTGTATGTTATTATGGAAAAAATGTCATAATCACAAAACAGGTGATAGTGATAGTAATAGTAATAATAAATATTTTAATTAAATAAAATGATATAATTATAAATTATATAAATATCTATACAATGGCCCCGGAAGATCTAAAAAAAAGTGAAAGTGTTGTACACAGTACCCTACATTGAAATTTTAACCTTTTAATATATGTGATACAAAAATTTTTAAACTGAATATTTAATACAAAATGATTTATATAGTGATAGTTTTAAAATTTTATTTAAAAAAATCAAAAATAATTAGTATTTTTTATGCAAAAAAATTCAGAAATTGAATGTGATATCTTGAACAAGTTAAAACATTTGAAACTTTATATTTATACAAAATAAAAAATGAGATTAAATTTCATCATATCATTTTGCAAATATTATAAAAATTTATATTATATTTTTTTATTATTCTTACATTAAAGCTATAGATATACATATATTTTTCAAAAGGAAAATAGACATATTTTTTTTTAAAGAAAATTTCTATGAAAAATCTAAAATTTTATCTTTGTTGGATTTTATTTTTTTTTGTCTATATTTTTATATTGAAAAAAAAATCATATCATCAAATTGTTTTAATATGATAAATTTCTAATTTTCAGTCAGTTTCTCAACTAAAAATATTAGTATAAAAAGTAATTGATAATTATAATAGAATACAAGGTAATCTATAATGATCATAAATAAAAAAAAACATAGAAACAAAAATATATGATTTGTCACTCTCGAATTACTTTCACCTAAACACGACGATATTCACTTAAATTTGCAAAGTGTTTTATGCTAGCTATGATTTGTTGACCTGTATGTATATATACTAGATAGTAAAATCATAAATGTCACCATAACTACAGTAGTATGAAGACTAATTTTAAGTCTAATTTAAGTTGCGTTAACTAGAGTTGGATTTGATAATTGAAATAATATCAACAATCTCTCACTTAATTCATGTTGTGGGGACAATAGATTCTATAGTTTATATAATTGCTAAAAATGTCTAAAAAGAACCAATCATAAGCTTCTTTTTATATTAGAGCTAATTAAAATTAAATCGTAACCAAAACATGATGAAAGAAAAATATAGAGTTAACAAAAATTGATAATAAATTATACTTGTGCTTTTCAAACAACACTTGCACATTTCCACAATGTTTTCTAAAACTCTTCAAAATAATAATTTTGATTAACGTAATTGAATCTATCTTCAATCTTGACTAGTTTAATATTTTTAACCCACATTATCTCTTTGATTTCTGATATTGACATGTTTACATCTACTATCTAGTACATGATCTTGATGAAACGCATTTTGACTATCATATTCAAAATTGACAAACTTATATTTTATTGACATATTTGTTATAAATCAAATCTATTTAACCAAATAGATTTCTTTGTTGTTTCTTCTCCTGCAACATATTTAATTTTGGCTATGGATTGAATTATACACTTCTACAAAGTAGATTTTGAATCAATGCATTCAACATCAAGAGTAATCACATAACTATTTGTGGAGTTTTTTATTTGTCGAGATTATGTCTATAGTCTGTATCAATCACCATAGGCTAGCAAAAATTTAACATCGGCTGAAAAACTATCAAAATATATATTATAATTTTGATTACTCTTTAATGACCTGATAACATATTTTACTCATTCCAATGAAGTTTTAGTAAAATTGATATTTATCTATTCATTTGTTATAGCAATATCAAGTTTTATGTTCATAATCAAATATATAAGAATGCTCAAAATTTATTTAGAGTGAAGTGTTGACATTTTTTTTCAATCATATTGATTAAACATTAAAATAAAAATGTGTTGAAAAACAAAAAAAATTAAAATTTTTATTATTTTTTATCAAAAATTTAAAAAAATTGTAATTTGTTCTAAATAAAGTAATGATGGGTAAAATATTCATAATTTTCTTAACATAATATTGATTCATAATATATTCTTTGTTTTGAATAATTTTAATTTTTTAAGATAGAAATTAGACTTGAATAAAGTTTTTATATGCTATAAATAATTATATATATATATATATATCAATTTTGAAAATATAAATATATTATAAGATATAAAATTTTGGAATATAATGTCTTTAAAGAACTCCAGGTCATAAATTACTACTTCCTTATGAAACAACCTAACTAAAATGCAATTTCGGACATACAATTAATAAAACTCTTATGAAATATTGAACTGAGGCTCCTTGGATAAATATTCGAAGATCGTTATTTGAATCTCATCACCATGGTTTGTGACATTCGTGTGTGGACACCAATCAAAAACGCTAAATCAGTGAAGGTGGTAAAAAATTCGATCACTTGCTGAAAGCTTCGGTTTTCTATTTATCACAGGAGCGGCGAATTGGAGACAGGAAAAATTTTTTGATTAAATTCAAATGGAAATATATACAACTCTTGTCAGTCGGTAAAATGATGAATTTGCTCTCTAGCTTCCCAAGCAGTCTACACCAAGTATGAAATCATTGCATGGAATCGGTTCCGACTGTCTGTCTCTGAGAATCTTCCTCTCGCTTTTCAGTAACATCCGATTGCATTCATTCCAGTGCAGAATGATTGAAATTCGTCACTTTGGGGACGTAATCTGCAGTCTGGGCGGTCGGTGAGACACGGCATGAGAGCCTGTGGCATGTCAATCGATTCACCATGTGATGCTCGAAGTGGAAATGGACACAATTGCACTTTAGCTGTAGAAGAAGCCCGATTGCCGATTTGGAGTGCAAGGAAATAGGTACGAAAATAGTAATCACTGGTTGTCTACCTCCGAAGCAGAGACGAACCCGATACGCTGCAGATTTGAATTTAACAAGCCGGAAAGTTCATGCGAGCATCTGGCGCTTCAGCTGGCACGATCCTTGAGGATTTCGAGGTCCATCTCGGTGGGGTCGGTGGCCTGAAGCTCGTAGTGTATGCCGTCGAGCTCCCTCCTGAACCTGTCCTTGGAGCTCGCGTACATCATCTTGGCCTTGATTCTGGAGGTGTCGGGTGACCACGAAATGAAGAAAATCTTGCTCTTCTGGCACATGTCGTCGGTGGTAAATTCCAGGTCGAATACTCCGAATCTGCAGTCGCTCTCCGGAAGGCAGGCAGCGAAAGTGTCGTAGCTCTCGTTAGTAGCGCCCGCTTTCTCCACCACAATCTGCTGCGACTTCTCGTCGATTTTGTAGATGATGTATCGGTAGTGTTTCTTCGTCCTCAAGTCCATGAATTTGGACTTGCAATCGTCGCTCAGATCCAACCGGATGCCCGACGCGAGCTGTGCCATCCTGCTCTCCTGCTCTCCTGCTCACCCGCTCGCTCCCTCTGCCAGCCTCCACTCTCCGGCAGAATATTTCAACACAACGAGAAGCTAATCAAACAATCACCACGGTTCTCTTCCCCTCCCGCTGATTTCGAATTAGATACACGATCGAATGATAGGAGAAGAATTGCCACTGCAGGGCTGAGCAAGAGTCTGCTTCCGAGAGGATCGAGGTCAGAGCTGCAGATTTGTGTACCCCGAATAGGCGACTGTAGGAGGGGGATATACAGAGCTTGCATGCTATCGACGAGGCGCGGGAGCTTGGACGGATGTGCCCTTGCGTCGATCGCGCAGTTGCGAATCCTTTTCGCGTTTCAGGGGCTCTAGACCGGGAGGGGCTACGCGACATACATCCGGCGTTGTATTTTTCCATTGCGTTCTAAATCTGCAGCTGTCTATTCATCCTTACGTGACGATCAAGAAACACAAAATTCCATTTACACTGTTTTTTCAGTTTTCTATGTGTCAATGTGGCGCAGGCCGTGCAAATCTGGAGCTCCGAGCAGGTCCATTTGCGCGTGTCATCAATTTGCGGGGCCATGTCAATGTCATCCGTATGTCTGCGCATCAGTACGTGTCGACTCTGACCCGAGGGTCCGGGCCGTCCTGATCCATCCGGCTCTTGATGAGTCATCTTCGCGAAGGCCGTGGGATTCCGCGACGCTCGTCCCGACGACAGCACCTCTTGCGGTTCGACCCCCTCGCGGTTGAAGAGAATTGTAGGGAGGATTTCCGAGAAATGTAGAAGGTTTTCCAAGAGGTTAAAGGAAAATGATAATGTTTATATTTTTCATTCTGTCATATATTTCAAAAAATTTCTCAAATTGATTGTAGTCAAAGAAATCAGTTTCTTTTCACATTCCAATCAATTTTTTTGAAAAGCCATAAATTTGTTCAAAAAGTCCATTTGAAAAGTAGAAGAAATCAGTTTTATATTTATGTTAATTCAAGAAGCATTCTATATTCATATATATGGTAGCCGTATCTTAATGCGGACATTATTGACTTGATTATGTAACTGAGAAAAAAATCATTGTACAAAAAATCCAAAACTATTGACTTGCTAAGATTAAAACAAGCTTGAATTTCTATTAGCATCATATGTCAAATGCATATTGTTTTAATTTTAAATATGTTCATTATGAAGATTGAGATATTGTCACGTACATACGATAGTAGTGACGATTGTAAAAAAATGCCAACTTTCTCAACTTGGGAGTAGATGCTAACTATTAAGCTTTTGAGATGATGCCAACTGTTCAACTTCGCAGTCGATAACTCTTTCTAACTTTTGAGTTTCACGGTCAAGATTCCCGTAACATTGTCTCTCACTCTGTCTTCATGAGTTGTACTTACTCTTCCAATTATCAATAATACTTCCAATTTTCTCACGTTAAGTATTATTCCAAGTTTTTTGTGAATTTTCCACAACAATTTGATGAGAATTCAATATCAATCTTGTTTCCAAGAATTTGATTTCTTCACTTCCCCTGACGGTCCAAAGTTTTACAATTTTATTTTCTTGTAAATCTTCAAGCGTATCGAATTCAAGATGTACGACGAAACGTAATGTTTAAAGTTTTGTTGTTGCTATAAGGGTTTGATTTTTTTCTGTAAAAATTTTGCTCAACTTTCCAAAGAATCAATCAAGATTTGCCTTGAACTCCATGAAAGTGCGCAACATCCATTTGTTCCAATCTACAGATTTTCTCAAAAAAAGCTTGCTGCATTGCAAGATTACATTGATTTTGTGGACTAAACAAGATCATGACAAAGATTTGGTATCTAGTGCCATTTATTTAAATACTTATTGACCAACTTGATCAAGCTTTGAAATAGCTATGGATATTTTGAATACAATGTCATGACTTTTGATCTTACCAACAAACCTAAGCATATTCTAACACTTGATGAACAACATATTTCAAAATATTTTAGACAATTTTGTTGTTTGTAATTTGATGACATATTGAGATTTTTCAAGAATAAAGAATATCACATCAATTATATCCAACTAACATTGGAAAAGTTGTGTACTGTTAAAGTATATGCCAAACCAAAAAAAGTGTATTTCTCATCAATCCCAATTTGAATTCTTGGAGTGCATCATTTCTAGATTGTATCTAATCATAGACTCAAATAAATTTCAAACCGACACAAATCGGGAGAAATCAGGTACGTTTGCTTCCTTGATTTTTTGAACTTCTATCAAATTTTCATTTAAAATTATTCTAAGATTGCTCCTTTGTTGATCTGATTGACTTGCAAAAACAAACTCGATTGTAATTGATGAAAACCTTTTGAGCGGATAAAGTAAATGTGCATATGATACATGCTTGAACTGCTCCAAAGGTTAAAATGTTTTGATGTGAGTCTCCTGCATTCTCCAAATTCCATCATTCAATTGATACTCTAGCATTGACAACCACATATGCTTCAATCAAAAAACGCATTCTCCATCTCAACTCACTTGAACTCCAATTGCACAGTCGAAGATTACTTGTGTTTGCGACCTTAGCATCTGTAGAGTATATTTCTTAGATTCTTTGAGAAATTTATTGACAGATTGTCTGCTTAGGTTCTGGAATCCAAAAGAGTGAAGAAACAAAATGGTAGTGAAGTTGGAAAGAAGTATGTTTTATAGTCTGAAGTTTCATCAATGTTATCTCATCGGACTCCAACATATCAAATTCAAGTGGCAAAATCACTCAGGTTGTGCAACTTAAAGTTGGGATTCATCAGTGTAAACAATCTCGATGATACATCATCATTACATAATCGTTAAAATCCGTTTTTTTTGTTTAAAGACTAGGAAAACGGATTCTAACAATTGTGTAATGATGATGTATCATCAAGATTGTTTATACCGGTGAATACCAACTTTAAGTTGGACAACCTGAGTGGTTTTGCCACTTGAATTTGATTTGTTGGAATCCGATGAGATAACATTAATGAAACTTCAGAGTATAAAACCATACTTCTTTCTAGTTTCATTATCATTTTGTCTTTTCACTCTTTTGGATTTCAACCTCCGTAGACAATGTGTAAGTTAACTTCTCAGAGACTTTAAGAAATTTACTTTGCGTATGTTAAGAACACAACACATGTAATATTCGACTGTGCAATTGGAGATCAATTGAGTTGAGATAGAGAATGTGTTTTTTGGTTGAAGCATGTGTGATTGTTCAGATTATAAATCCTCTTGCATGCTTGTACATGCTAGTATAGCAATTGCGTGATGCATTTGAAGAATTCATGAAACTCACACCAAAACATCTTAACCTTTGGAGGAGTTCAAGCATGTATCATGTGCACATTTCCTGTATCCGTTGTAACCATCTTTAGTTAGTTAGAATTAGAGTAGAGATTACTTTAAATATTGATATAGATATTTTAGTGTGCACTAGTCATAGTTGCTACGTTAGCGATCCGCCCGCTTGGTAGATAGAAAGTAGGTGTGTTAGTTGACACTGCCACGTCAATGATCCGTGTGCTTGTTAGGTATGGATTAAGTGTGTTAATTAGTGTGTTAGTTGATATCGCCACGTCGGCAATCCCTGTACTTGTTAGGGTTATCCGTAACTTCATCTATCTACTAGGAGTGAGATAGATGATGGTGAAAATAAGAATTTATCTCTTTGTATTTTTTGGTGAAAGTTATATAAAGGAGAGTAGAACCATTATTGGTATCTCTCATATTCAGACTTTATGTTTACTTCTTCGAGTGAATTTCTCTCTAAACCTGTGTTACATCCGCTCAAAAAGTTTTGCAAGTGGAATGCGAAAGCATATCAAACCTTTGAAACTTTAAAGAAGGAGAGTACAATGACGTCTGTTATGACGCATCATGATTTTCAGAGTCCGTTTTTTCTAAAAAAAAATGGTTGTGACTATGTCCTTGAAACAATACTTTCACAATCCATCAAAGACAGCTGACTTCATCTTATCACATTTTTCTTGCAAAAACTTTAGTGCTGATAAGATCAATTATGAGATCCACGACAAAAAAATTATTAAACATTGTTGATTTGTTTCAAGAATGATGTCGTTTTCTTGATGAAGCTCAACATACACTCACGTTGTATTAAGTTTTTCAATTTTGACTGAATCAATCACAATTCAATGAAGAATGAAAAAGATTCTGCTTCTCAAAAAAAGTAGCTAAAGTCAACAAACTCAATAGTGGATTACTTAAAGCTTTAGACTGCATCTAAGTGTTTATTCTCTATTATAATCTGAAAACGTATGCAATATGGTCCATATCGGATATATTATGGATCATAATTTATTTTATAAACCTACCAAAATACAACCACCTAATACCATACAAAAAAATCCACCTAAAATTGATTTCCAAACACAAAAATTATTAAAATCTTACACAAATTTATCATTTTGAACTAAATAAATCTTGGTCTGGGTGCATACTAAACCCAAAGGTTATTGTATCACTTCCGGTTTTTTCATGTCAAGTGCTACTCCGAGTCTTGTATGAATTGCCGTATGCAAGAGATGCTTAATTTTTTTTACAAGATTAATTGAAAATTGTCATAATGTCAAAGATTCTTTATGAGTGCATATTGGATATTTTTTTTTCTTAGATGATGCACATTATATTGTATTTAGCATTTGAGCATATACATGTCAAATTCATCTTGACGTACAATGAACAGTGGTGATATGACATCTAGTTATCAAAAAGTTTTCAGTATACATGGATTTTTATTTGATCCAAAACTTATCAATTCATCAATAGATTCAGATCATGGTGGAAGTTGTTCAAATAAAGTTAAGACTTGATAATTATTGATGTAGATTCATCAGTTAGACCTCATAATCTTGCAGAAGATGACCGTGTTTTTGTGAGGACAAAGTAACTAGTCTAGTTAACTGAAATGGGACCCACAATTTCAGAACGAGCATCTTACAAAGAAAAACCAGATGATGACAAACTAAATGGCTCACATTGACATAAATTAGCAAATATATCATACAGTCATTGTGTCATAACAAGGTTAGTCCTGTGTAGATTGATGGAGAGATTCAACCTGATTCACCTTGAATCCCTTTGAATGGCAACTTACTAATTTTTCCAAAGTTTACGGTTGGCAAGAATATTCAAAAATTTCAGCAACTAACCCTATCATAGTTATATGTTGATCTAGGATTGCTTCATGAATCTAATGGAATCTCACATTTCTCGTTTCTTCCGAAGCTTCATTCCTATCTCTTAGTTTACAAGTTTCATCTCTTACAATCCTTATATTCAAAGATCAAAAGATCGTGCTAAAGTGATGGTGATCGCCAACTAATATAATATCCATCATCAAACGTTGAAGTGATACTTACTCTGAGGATCGTAATCAAAGGTTACCAAATGCATTTTGGATGGAGAGCAAACAAACAAAAAACGCCGAAAGTAACCATGGGGACGTGCCCTTTCATCGCTAAGGAATCTCCTAAAACGACATGATTTTAAGACCTCGAAGCAGCAAGTCGTCATTCTGCGCCGGTGATCACGTCATCATAGGCTTGGGCTGCAGAATCAGTGCAGATGCTTCCCAGTGGAAACGTATGTCATGAATTATAGCGATCGTTCTTATTTCACTCCCGTCCAAGAAAAAACCTCTGTTTCCTCATTCGAAGTTCACGACGAGCAATTTAGCCGGTATAGTGAGAGTTTGGAGTGAGTCCAATAGATGCCGCGTACGACTGCTCGCAGATGAACGGAGCCATTTTCAGAGAATGGCACGATTGTTGTGGAGCAGGTTGATGTTGCGTCATGCTCAGCTTCACTCCTAACAGCTTCTGTAACGAATTGCTGTAGCTGTCAAGAGATCTAGGAGTATTTGTCACTCCTGAGACGTTCGTGGTGTTGAATGTTGCTGCTGCAGGGATGGTCGGTCGGTCTGTCGATCCACAAATGACTCTGGCACTAACGGCTCAAATTATTTGCCATATCGGACGTCATTTCAGTTCATCGTGTTGTTCTAGTTTTATGGAATCAGATGGTACTGCATCACGTCTCTCTCGTGAAGGAAAAATTACCGACTTCCTGTTAAACCCGCTATAGACCATGGGTCCACACTGAAACGAGGAGGCATGCTCGAAGATTACTTTTTGACGTCGGAACCTGGATCAGTTCGATAGCTGCTTAGTTTGATGGTTAGCACATCTGTAGAGATCAGTGATGATGATGTTGAGATTGCACTTCTTGGCAGTTTAGATGATGTGGACCTCCGCAAGTGGTAACTTGTTCGTTCTTATATGTGTCGTTGTACAGTTTCTTCATTCTTTGTGGCTACTACGTTGGAATATTCGGAGGGTGTTTATATCGCTTGGTTAAGTTTGTACTCACTCCTTGGGTTGCAGTTGCAGAGGCCGCACATGTTGCCGACTGGAAAAAAATTTATTGCAGATGCTGGTGTACGGCACGTGCACTTGTTCTGTGTTTTCTGTCGACCACGGATCTCAGCATTTCTACACGTCTGGTATATAGTACTAATAAGAATCAGGAAGTCCCTCTTTCTTCAGTAGCTGATGAATACTTTGTATCATACACGTCTTGGAATTTTTCAGTATCCTATGGCCGCTCAACTTTTCTACAAAATATGTAAACTGGTGAAACCTGCTTTCTCTGATCAATACACTGCAATACTGAAGATTTCCCTGGTGAGTTGAGCAAACTATTTGACTCCGTTGTCCTGGGCTTTGTAGAATAATGGCCTTTTTGTTTCTCCTACATTGGAGGAGTACTCAATGCTGAGAGTTATATTGAAGAATCAATGCTAATCAGAAGCAATTTAGTCCTGTCGCGTGGTTTAGGTGTCTTCCAATTTCCAAATTTCGAGAGGTGTGTCTAGTAATTGAAACCTCGAGAATAAGAGATGGTCGTTTTTACTGGCAATTTTCGGGGCTTGTACTGTTTTGCAACTAACCTTCTTCGTTTCGTTCTCTCCCTGTAGTGTCTGGTTATTTCAAAGGTAGCCTGTTGATATCTTGGGTGTGATCTTCCTTGAAGTGTAAGCGCGAATGACATGTATCATAGATCTTTATGCTTTGTTTGACATGTAGGGAGAAAAAGAGTAGTATTCTCATTCTTGTTCACATTCCAGGACGTTCAAAGTGGACGACAAAGCATTGACGAAAGTAACAAAGTTGCTCTTGATAATTGAAATATGAACATCGTTTCAAAGAATACGGTAGCATGTGAAAATGCACAGATTTAATAGACATATTGGTCTTGCAATTGGCGAATCTCTAAGCTTTCGAGTGTCTTTTAAGTTTTGCTTCCGACGAGTGGTATGGTGTCTCTTCAGCACTCGATCTTTCTTGTACACAGGTCAAATTTTTCATAAAAACAAAACCACAACGACTCCGACCTATCGCGCTACGCACCGAATTCGGTTGGAGATCATTTTTAACCTCTTATGGTGTAGAGGTAGGATTTTATACACAGGATTTGCTCATCTGTACGTTGATCTTGGAGCTTTGATGTTTATTTGTTGAAAGCACGTTCGTGATCACAAAAATCTGGGCGTGTGGGATTCAGAATCTCGGTTTCACTGCAAAAGCAAAGCATCCAAAGAAACTACAGCTATCCTGTAGTTTTCGACCTATCCATTGTCACATGTTCATATTCAGGACTGTGAAGTATCAACGCAAGGGTGTAACTGTTTTAAGATCAAATTCGTGCTACTGTTGCACAACGTTAAACAAGCTCTGAACCTCTCCCGATCAATCACAGGTATTTATTCTAGAACGAACCAGAATTTACAAGCACATACGTAATTGCAAATTGAAACACCATTGTGAAATTTAGAAGTCAACTAGAGATTTCTCTAGACCCAGAACCTCCTGAGGTCATCAGATTATTCGTAAGAATAGAAGGTGTAACCAGCAAGAATTGAGCTTTTTGTTGGACCTCGAACAACACGAAGCTTACGGAGCGATTCCCTTTGAAATGCCACAACAATGTCGAATGAGAAGTGTAATAAGCCGATTACCTCTCTCCCTGCGTTCGAGTTACAGTGAATACAAATCATCAGTTGTCTCTCGCCTTGAAGTGGACGATACAGCTTCTGAGAAGATGTACGGTTTCTTGGTGCCATAACTCGCATTGAAAACAAATTATCAATAGTAGAGAATGAGAATGGTACTAGACCAAGCCCGGGGACCCAAAGGGTCCCCGGGCTGAAAAACACAAGTATCTTACCCTCGAAGTGTACATACAGCTTTTGTGAAGATCTACGGTTTCTCGGTGTCATAACTCGCCTTGAAAACGAGGATGAAAAATCATAGAGAATTCAACAAATACCACTCGGCATACTTAAACAACTCATACAACCTGTTTCTGAAACCTGACCTTCTATGAAACAGACAAAGAAACGCACTTTTAACGATATCACCCATTATAAAAGTAGTTTTAGGATTAGTTTGGCGTGTGATTCCTTATTCCGTGTATGAATACATCACCTTCGGGAGAAAAATAGATATGATGACACAATGGCCCACGTGAAAACCTTCGTCCATGTGTGTGTCTTGTACATCCTGGGGCTAGTCAAATGCTTCCTAATAAACTGGTTGAGTCTCGATATGGTTATACCTGTTTCGCAAACATAAGCCTTCAATTTTTTGGCATAATATTTCCTTGACCTTTTTCTTTAACGTGAGGGAAAATACAAGGTAGTCACTTGGGCCCATATTTGTCGTTTATCAAACGGAATCAAGAAGTAGAGCATTATGTACTCAGTGACCCGGTTTTGTCTGGCTATCTCCTGCAGACTTTTTCCTTAGAATCTTCCATCTCTTTCCAAGCATAGCTTTCTTAGATACGTTACGCATTAGATATACTTTTTTTTGAGGAGATGCCCTTTGAAAGTTCCTGCAAACTGTAAGCAGTTTTTCGGTGTGCTGGCATGATTCCGATGAAGTCCGTGCGATCATTTGTTTCGTTACGAATTCCCAGAACGAGTCCGAATCAGAGGCTGAAGAGCTTCCAGGTGGACAATGAAATCCAGCAGAATAGTTACAATCACATCTACGAATCTCGTGCTAGCTGAGCATTACATGCATTATGCATGGTCTGCATAGCCCCCTGAATTCCAAAGTTAATGAGGTGATATAATATTCATGTGAGGAGTGAAAATGAAAAGAAAAGAGCACATAAATATAGCAAGAAATGATCGAAAGATACTTCTAAAGATCCGGTGATGGATTATTCGACTTTCGAATATGTTAGTTTCAATGAATACTTCTACAAAGTGAACATCGTGAAAATTGAATGTTCGCAATTGACACCAGATGGTTCGATACAAATGTAGATGAAATATATGTGATACACTCTATTTATAACATGCCCACGATGAAATTAGAAGAAGTATACACCACTGTTGGAATATTTATATTTTTAAAATCTAAAACATTGTTTAATATATTTATTGGTGTGTTACACTGACTGGTCTACATGATGGATCCTTTTACGAGCATACGATCGTTTAAAAACAATTTGAAATACCGTTAATTTCGTTAATTTCGGAATTTATACTCTCGCAATTTGAAATGTTTGCAAAATCCCCTAGAAGATTGTAGTTATTTTGAATACAAATCATGACATTTGCACACTTTTGCTCATCCCAATAAACATGGCATACTTCATTCATGATCTTTATATGTTTTATGTCACTTGTTGCTCTTTTATCCGAATGATTCAATAAATTGGTAGCTACAGCCTCATTGGACCTTTTAACTTTGTACATATAGTACAGTCATTAGATTTATAAAAATCAACAGAAATTAAAATATCAATGCGCGAATAACATGCCAATTCACAAAAACATTGACACATCATTTGACATTGGGTGTATAGTGTGCTTTACATGCCTGTCATGCACAATGTTAGGTATTCTTGAGTAAAACTAGGATAAAAGTCAGAATAGCTAAATTTTCAGTACCTCTCCTTCAGCACTGAACACATAGAATTATAAAGAGTAATAAATTCAAAATTATACTTTCATTCTTTGAACTAGGATGTTTGGTAATTCATTGCCATGGGAAAAATATGAAAGATGCAATTTACAAAATTGTAATGTAAGTGGTATATTACACTTCAACTTAAGTTGCTTGACATAGGCTCTACTCGACAGCATATTCGTATTATTCTCAAGAAAATCATTCGCATAATTCTCAATAAAGCCTTGCTTTTCACAAATTTGATGCACTCCTTTAAGATGTAATTGCCTCATACATCATTATGTATGTACTCTATCCTTTCCATTTATGATTACTTTCTTGAGCTTGTAGATTACTCCAATTTGTGATAACTAACAAATACCAAAATGAAACATAATGGTATAGATTCGTTCCCACAGAGATAGATGCAACACCAAGAATCTCGATTTGTCACTGATTAACAATCTATTGACGAGTTTTACTTCTTATTCTACTTCATGTCATTCCCAGAAGACACTGCTCAATTACGGCTGAAGGCCCGAAGAGCAGAGTATAAACACACACAACCTAAAACTTTTTCAAACAACACCTATGGGAATCGCCTTGGATCCCACACTATGATTTCAGGGGAAAATTTTTCCAGAATTGCATATTTCCGGCTCATTGACCTGAATACCTAGACCCGAATTCGCTTAAATTCCGAATAGCCCCCGGCTACTCAGAACATTCAGGCTATACAATCACAACTCCAGATGCGGTATCTTCGACGAACCGGAGCGCATCATGCTCAATGGCAAGACACCCAAACACACAGACACGCACAGTGGATACAGTTTGACAGCCAAGACAAGCCAATTGACAGAAAAGCCCACCCAAGGAAAGAGCCTTGGGACTCTTTATTCACTCTGATCTTCTAGACATCTCAACCGCTTGAGGCGAAGTACTCTCAGGTGCGGTACCATCCGACGTAGCGGTTACATCGTCCTCTGAGCTTTTGTCGGCTTCTAACCTACGCAAAACGTTTACAATCTCTATCTCTATGTTCTCTTGCGCCTTTTTCAATCCCGCAGAGAAAGAATTAACTAATTCTACTAAATGTTTGTGCCCCGCGGATCTGCTGACCTTCGCAGTCATCAAACGTCGCTGCAGTGAATCCAACTTCAGCCACTAACCAATTGGAATTTCCACATTGAAAACCCACGCATGCACTTCTCAACACGCAATCGCAATTCGTCGGTTGTCTCATATCGCAACCGTTGGTGTGCCGCCTCTGCCTTTTCCGCTCTCCTTTGCGACTCCTCCAACTGCACAACAACTCTCTTCAACTACTCCCGTAAACGTCCGCATTCCGATTTGAATCTTAGTTTACATTCGACCTCCAAAGATCTGGCTGCTTCACAATCTGCCAATTTCTTGGCCCAATCCATCAATTCGCCTTCGTGCTTCCGGAGTACATCCGCCAGACTTGCCATAAGCTCCTCCTCTTGCCATAAACTCTCTGTCACGATCATCCGTGAGCTCCGCGATCATACTCCGAAGTTTTTCTTGCCCCGTCTTCGTCGCAGCAATCTGTCCCCGAAGATCTTCGGCGATCTGTTACTCTTCGGCTCTTCACCCTTCCGCCTTAGCTAACTCTTCGGCGCGCAACTAATCGCGTTTCCCTGCAGCCACAACTATTTCTTCCACAGGTTGTACTTCCGCGGCGTGGACCTCCTTGGATGCCTCAAATCTCTTGCACAACTCCACGGTTAACTTCGAAGTTGGTGGTACGAAGTCTGCTACACTCCTGTTCCAATGTCGCACGAAGATCGGACTCCTTCACTCAGTTCAGTCGTAGGACCTCGCACTCCATCTCCTTTGCCCGAAGTCGGTCTTCTTGTTCCTGCAATGTCGCCCTCGTGGTCGCACACTCGGCTGTCAAGCTTGCAACTAGTTCCTTCACCATCGCAGTTGCAGAATTCCACTCCCTCTTCATTGCCACTACCCTCTTGAGCTTAGCTCTATTCCTCACCAGTTTTACATAAGATCCTGATTTCCTACTCACAATATACTTTTGTCTCTTCTTATCCAAGTACTTCAATAAAGGTACTACGCTATCTTGCAAGAAATCAAGGAAGTCAACCTCTAACTCCTTTGGTTACTCCTCCAAAGTCTTCTTCGCTACCTTGGATCTTACTTCTTCCTCGGGTCGTGGCGGCGCTGGAATATCAGCGATGTCTCCCACCATCCCTCTAACCTATTCAACAATCTGCTCAAGTATCATTTTGCTCAGCGTGAGCACCTTCGCTAGCGCTTCACTTGTCTTTGGTTGAGGTACGTCTTCACGCCCCACAGATCGCGTCTGCTCCAAAGATAGAAAACTTGGACTAGTTGTCTCCTTCCTCTTCTCCAAAGGTTCCACTGCTACCTCAATGGGGACTTTGGCTGGTACCGCCGAATGTACTCCTTCTAACACTTGAAGAGTAGACTCGTC